CTGCTGAGGTGGTAAGGACCGAAAGGCACGACGTCTAGGACATGGGGGCAGACAAGACGCGCCGACTAAGGGACGTCCACGTGTCTCTATTGTGGCACAGAGGGTGTGATGGTGGAGTATCGACATTCATGGGGCACGGTGCAGGATGCCCCGTGCTAGTACACCGTGTGTAGCGTGTGTGAAGGGTAGCACAGGCGTCCGAATTCAGACGCCCCCCCCAGGACCGATGCTGAAGGCGTCGGGGATGTACCGTAGATCGCGACGCCTGTGCGGGCAAGGCCGAAGGCGGCACGAGGAGGGAGTAGTTGACATTCGAGAGTCGCCCTTGACGGAGGCGAGGCGCGGCGCGGAGCCGGAGAAGGCGCGGGCGCGAGGGCGCATGCCGGAGACGGCGCGTTCGCGTGGGCGCAGGCCGAGGTCGCCCTTGACGGACGCGAGGCGCGGCGCGGAGCCGGAGGTAAAGCTATCAAAGCTGAAGCGTGAGGCACTGGCTGTGCGATGTGAGTTGTCACTCTCGATGACGGAAGCGAGACTCGAGTACTCGACGGTGACGGCGGCGGCGACGGCGCTGGTGGCGGAGGCGCTGGCGGAGAGCTCGGCTACGGTGGAGGCGGCGGCAGGGCGCGCCCAGTCGTAGTCGAGGGCGGCGCAGGCATCTCGCGCGCTGGCCAGAAGAGCGCCGGCCGTGCGAGGCGAGGCAGCGCACTTGACGGTGGCGACGCCTTGCTCGACGGTACAGCCGACGGCGACAGCTCTGGCGGCAGAGGCGCTGGTCGATCGCTCGGCTCCGGCGGAGGCGGCAGAGCACGTCCGCTCGGAGTCGAGGTTGGCGCAGGCGTCTCGAGCACTGGCGAGAAGAGCGCCGGCCGTGCGAGGCGAGGCATCACGCTCGAAGACGAAGGCGAGACTTGAGTCCTCGACGGTACAGCTGACGGCGACGGCGCTGATGTAGCAAATTCTGAAAAGGTTCCACCAGAGCTTGCGTGTGGCGGCGGCGGCTGGCGCCTTGGCTGGGGCGGCTGTGACTGGCGCCTCGGCCTCCGTTAGGGCAGAGGCCTCAGCTGGTTGGTTGCGTCGGGCCAAAGCCCCGCCCAGACTCCCTTCACACTCTCTCATCCCGTCTGAGCTATCGCTCGAGCTGATGTTGATGGAAGCAAGGGTGGAGTGTCGACTCATATAGTTGAAATGTGAAATTTACGCGGGGACTACAAGTGAGATCATCTGATATGTAACTTTAATATTGTAATGTTAATTGTTGTTGGTTGAGATGATGTTTTTGTGAGACAGATGAAGAAAGTGTGAAGGGAATGTGTTGTGTGTGTGGTGCTGTGGTGTCGTGGTTGGAGGGAGGAGTTGGAGATATGTGAAAGGTGGTTGTGTTTGGAGGTGGAGGTGGAGGTAGTGGGGGATGGAGGGGGAGGAGGAGGTGATTATTGGGATGTGAGGAGGGGTGACAGAGTTGTAGGTAGAAAAGTAGAGGAGTAGAGTGCTGAGAGTGTCGCAGAGATCTGGAGTCAGACCCCTTCGGACGTCATCCAGCGTGCGACGCGGCCACTGATGGAGACACAACGCTCAACGGAAGCGACCGACGCAGCAGCAACAGCGGAGTCGCAGGGCCAGGCCGGTGGGTCGCTGCGACCGTCCCCCAGAATGCCACGGATCGTGCTCGTTCGGAGGACAGGCGGGACCCGGCGCCGGATCGCATACCCCTCGCTCCGGCAACCGGATGGGCCGGAATT